GTCCTCACACTAAACTGCAGGTTTACCTGCATGTCTCTTTTTAAAAGTAGTGAGTTTAGAAGCGTCGCTGCACACCACAACAAACTCGCATCAGCAGTGAATGCAGATTAAATCAGCAGAAGAGGGGATATGAATGCACAGAGAGATAAATGTATGCACAGCTATGCATTTTTAGGTGCACCCACCTGGTCAGTCACCGCAGAAAGAGGGCGTGGCTGACATTGTTTCCCAGCAACACAGATTCTGGGTATCTGATAAGACCACAGACTGGCCTTCAGTTATGATCAGCACTTTCTATAGGCGAAAGGGCCCATATGCATGTTATTATCCTATTAAAGAAATAAACTCAGGGTTCAGTTGGCCACAGTTAACTCCCCCCCCCCCTTCCCTCTGTATTTAATATTGATCTGTACCATAAATTTATAACGCTTGGATGTATCTCAGTCTGAAGTGGTGGGTAACTCAACTGTTGCAAATTAAAGGGTGAATGAACTTTTCCCTCATCTGTTTGTCTGCGCATGCACGACACATGTGTGTCTATTTCTTTTTCCTTTTTTTTTCTTTCTCCAATTTACCAAAAACATAGCTGCAGGTTTACAGTCTCAGAGATGTCTTTTGCGTGTGTGTGTCCCACACATGCATGTACACGCTTGTCTGTTTCAGCAAAGGTAATTATGTGTAAGTTATGTGTGCGTGCGGGGGGTTGGTTTTTTTTTTTTTTTTTTTTTTAAACACAGAGGGGTTGATAATTATGGGTTAAATGAGTGCTCTCAGTCAGCCTCCCTGAGTGTGTGTAAAAAAAGGAAGGCACAGCGAAAGCCACTTCAAGGCCGGCTAATTACCCCAAGGAAGAGAGGAAACATAAATGGACGATTTTGCGGCTATAATGTTACAGCAAAACGGCTAAATCAACCTCAGCACGTGAAACAGAGCCACAGCTACTTTTGAAGGCTCCTAGCAGCCCTGAGCACATGTGCGTATGTGTGCGTGCGCGTGTGTGCATTTTCGCCCCATATGCGAAGGATCTGCCGAGAAGCAGAAGATGTGCGTATGTGTCTGTACGCAAACTGTATGCGAGTGTGATTTGTGTGCAGAAAAGTCACACTTGTCGAGTACTGATGTTATTTAACCTCTGCGTTTCTGTCCCAGGCGGTCTTTTGTAACGTGAAGAATCATGTAGAGTTTTGTTGGTGCTCATGAACATTCATTGCCTTACTTGTGGTTTTGACTCCTATTACAGGAAAAGTTTTTTTTTTAATGTCATGCAACCTTTTTACCAGCTATACCAGTTCTGAAACTTTTTCTAGTTTTCCCCCAACCAAAGGCCTCATCTAACCCTACAGTTCATATCAACCCTTGTGAATAAAAAGGACCCAAATTCAATTTTAGTGAAGAGAGAGAGAAGAAAAAAAAATCAGCATGCTATCTTTGCAAACTCTTGTTTATTTTCCCTGCATAAATCACATTCATTCGACACAGCGCTCCATGTTTTTCCACTAGGTCATCCAGGCAGTAGTTTTACACCCGGTGCAGTTTAAGAACCTCCGCATTCTTATGCCACTCACCGCCGGTGCCAGTTGCATCGTTTGGGGATTTTCCCTGCAAAATGTCAGTGATACTGCTGAATGTGAAGAAAAAATGCAAAAATAAATTGCTTCCTTTTCCTTGGATAGAGTTGTGTGTCGCTCATAAAACGGTGTTGATAACAAGAGACGATTTATGCAAATCAACCACATCAATAACTTCACAGAGAGGCGACATCGAAGAACATTGATCATCTTATTTGAATGCAAAGTTCTGCTGGGAAACCTTGACGTTCATCTGACATGTGGACTCATCATTGTCATTGAAGAAAAGCATTGCCTTACAGCAGAGGGCTTTGTTTAGCTCGACAGGGCGCCCTGCCGCTTCACAAAGCACATTTTTGCAATTTTCTTGGCTGGTTCGTTGTAAGATCTATGACAACGCAGATTTTCTTCAATGCAAAATATTATTTTCTAAATCAAAAAATTACAGTTTTTTCCAAATTGCAGAAAGTTACCGCTCCCATCTCTCAATGAAACATCTGAAAATAAACGCCGAACAAAAGGAACTGCATCAGATTTACAGAACAAAACAAATCTCAGGTACTTACATTGTATTCCAGTATATTTATAACATAACAATCTAACGGGACATTGACCCTTTTCACTTTTTTTGGTCATCTCCATAATTTCCTCATAACTGCTTCAATCCATTGCTCATACCGAGGCTGCTGGCTTGTGGCTGCCTCACAGTACTGAATAGTTTTAGCTTTAGCTAAAGAGGTCGAGGGTGATTTAAGTGTCTGATTAGGTTTGTTGTTACAAATAATTTGCGTGGTGGTTCCCCCTGTGGTTTACTTTGGCGAACTTTGCTGTGAGTGAACTTTCTTCGCTCACAGTGAGGAGTTTCCACGCTAATGACATGTGAGCGTGTGACCGTGAGCACACACGTGACTACTTCTCCTCACCGCAGTGCGCGTGTTGCAGACCGGCAAACGGACATAAGGGAGTCTGACCAGCACAAGCCGAGAGTAGCAGGAAAAGACAGAAAGCAAAAAGTTTTGACTCAGCCGTCAGACGCCTCAAATCACGATCTCTTTTAACAACCGGAGGATTCGCCACAGTGCAACCCTCAGCACAGTCCAGATCTATCCGGTAGTTGGCTGGGGTTTGTAACAGTGTGGCTGATTGGTGTTTCTGGGAATGAAAACGCCATCAAAGCAGCAGAAGGGTCATTAAAAGACAGACGTTTGAGAAAATCTGACCCCAGTGAGTCATAAGAAGTAGAATGCCTTAATGGAGATTTTTAGCATTTAGAAAATGTGGAAAAGAACACAAATTAATAATTTAACTTACATGTGGCCCGCCACATTAAACTAAAAAAACAATTGCTTGCCAGAAGCAATTTTTTGTATCCGCGTCTGTCTGTTTTATTTCAGAGTTACTTTCATGTTCCCATAAATGTCAGTTTCCCATCTCTAACTTGAAAGGGCCAATGCAGTCACCTCGTTTGAGCTGATGCAGTGTTAATGTCCAACCTTCACAAGACCAGCTGTGCAGACTTCTGTGTTTTCACACATCCATCCTGAGCTGGCGAACTGCAGACAGTCCCCTTTCCGTCTTCGACCCCACGTGATTAACCACATGACATGCAAACCAGCAAGGCGATGCAGCTCCCCTGCCCATCTTCATTGATAAAATACTGGTCTGCCGGGTCATAACCTTAAAACCTACTCAGTGTTTAACGCCTGCTGATTTCATTCTCTTGCCTTTGTTCTCGGCCTCTAAGGTGATGAAAGAGGCTTTTTGTACAATCCTTAAACCACGAGGTTTGTCCTCCGTCTCACTGTTTCTTCAGATCATTATGAATGCAGGTCATATTATCACCACATTTCACCTTCCTACTATGCTACCTGCTCCCCTGCACTTCTTCCCACCCACCACCACCATCACCAGCCCCATCCTCACACCTCCCCTTCGGCTCTTGATAACAGAAGCAGCCAGTTTTGTTTTCACGGCATTAAAAAGCGGTGTAGCAGTTTGATCTGAGCTCCGGTCGTGCAGCATACACATGAGGGTCCGTTTCCACACACGTGTGTGCGCACGCGTGTGGTCAATGCGAGTCTTTAAGATGCTGATTGATCGGAAAGGAGCGGTTTAAAGTGTGTGTAAATGTGCAGTGTAGCAGTGTGGAAGCTCTGCCTTTAAGTGATAAGGTGCTCGCTTTGTAACTCAGTGGGGGGTCTAGCGAGCAGCAGCAGATCTGGCCTTCTGCACTGCTGATCTTACACACTTCACACACATGCACGCTTATGCAAATAAATCTCAGTGTCCAAAATAAAATTGCTTGGAAAACTTCTCTCTCTTTTTTTTTTAATGTTCGTGCCGAGGAAAATTAGCGCCTCTGCAGAGCCTCACATTTACACACATCCACCTGCTTGCAAACACACTGATACTCACACCGAACGGCACTATTTAAACTCCCCAAGAAAACAATACCAGTCCACACAGGGCCTGCTTCAAATGAATGCAGTGAAATTCTGTCCAAGGCCGGCCGCTTAGCTGCTTCCAACTTTGCAAACCGCTGTGACATATCGTATGTCAGCTAGCATGCTGCGAGCATTAGTAATAACTGGATTTCACGTAAGTTATTGAAAGCCATTTGTAAACAGAGACATGAAAGCAAACAAGCTCACACGCAGCCTCACTTGATCATCAAAGACTTATCGATCAAATAGTCCTCCTCCTGCACCTCCTCCTCCGCCTCCCCGCTCCACTGAAAACCAGTGTGAGCGAAGTACGGCCCATCTGTTTTGTTCCAAACCGTGTTTAAAATGTCCAGCTTTCTTCCTTTTCTTTCAGCCTTGGATGAAGTATAAGTGCACGCAAATCCCCCCCCAAAATTCGGAGACACTTAACATTTGCATCTTCTTCCATCAGTGAATTATTTAAGAGGAGAACGCAGATTTTTTTTAAATAATTCTTTTCATGTCTGGTTGCATCTTGTTATTTCTTTTGTAAGCAAATGAACGAAAGGAAAACTCGTGTAATTGCAAAGCTCTTTGATCGTGCTCAGCAGCGTTGGGCCGAACGGCTGATTCTGAATCTTAAAATCTCAAAATGCAGTTTGCAGACATTATTTGTAATTGGAATAATATAGATTCTGTGATCAAATTAAGATACATCTGGTTTTCCTGACTTGATTCCAGACAACTTGATTAGCCAAACTTAAACAAATACTTTTGGGGGTTTTTTTCGTTTTCAATTGGTGTATCTTAGATTGTATCATCCTGGGTCTCTTTTATGTCTGTCACATGCAAAAGTCTTTATTTTTGCTTGGAAAATGTGAATTGTGCAAAATGTTCTAACATAAGGCAAAAGCAGTTTTTTGTACTTCTCAGGCTTCTTGAAGGATATTCAAAGCTCTTCTTTTATCTGAATTAATTTGTGTTGTTGTTGTTGTCGTCTCATCAACAGTCTAACAAAGTCTCGGTGGTACAGCAGTCTCACGGGATGCACCCGCTGACCTCCCTCCTGCCCTACAGCAACGATCACTTCAGCCCGAGTTCTCCTCACCTGCCCACAGACATGAGCCAGAAGACAGGTGAGAGCACACGTAGACACCTAGTATAGAAACATTGTGCACACACTGTTAGTGGAGGCTTGCGCATGCAGACGCAGCTAAACAGGCGAAGTTTTGGAGCTGAGTTAGATTTAAAAAGTCTCTCTACACAAGTGCAAGTAAACACAGACGTTCTCGGGACATCTGCCGAGTAGTCGCTGAAACCTCGGTCCGCATACACACTGTTTGTGCTGTTGACACATCATTTGTCACATCTGTGCAGATGCACCACACACACGTTTGTCACTTCACCAGAAGCACACACGAGAAATGTAATATTACAAATTTAATGCAGTAATATTTTTGCGCACTCCCTCTTTCATATGCACGCACACAGTATTTCTTTTTTGGCTCCCCCACCTCGCCTGGAACATGGACACACATAGAAAGACACAGGCACGCACTCTGTGTGTGAAGTGGCAGCATCAGCTCCGTCAGCCTGTGGCGGTCTCATGGCTTCTCTGAAGTGGCCTGCTCTTCTGAAGGGACAGCCAGCCACACACACACACACACACACTCACACAAAAAGATGGAAACAATTAGGGTGACAATCGCACAAACCATTGCAGCAGCGCACACAAGGTTCTCCTTAGCAAGCACTACACATACAAACACACACTCTCCTCTGTTTGGAAGGCACAAACAAACACACCCTGGCATTTAAAACACTATCGGCTTTTGGACCTGCCTGTGGCAGGGCCTGAAGGGTGGCACAGTGGGTTTGTGCAGCATTTCGCTTTAGTGTGAGATGTCACAACTACCGGCCACGTTTGCCGAACGTGTTCCCCAGAAGATGGCTCATCAAGCTCCTCAAAAGTATGCAGGTTACTGGTGATTTCCTTTTTATTTTAAACACGCTATGTGGATTAACGAGTTTATGCAATTGCAATGCTTTTTGTTCTTGTGCAACCTCGCTGGAACGGTGAATACTCTTGTTAAAAATAGCCAAAGCTTAAATAAGGTCCATGTGAGCCATGTGAGCTAAGCACTCTTATTACTCCTGTTAACGCTCATTTTTTTAAATAAAAAATTGCCTCTGCATGAAATCAGTGATTGGTGATTTCATGGATGAAGACTCCAGAAACCTGCCGTTCAGGCCTTTAGCCAATCAGAAGAAAGTTGTCTTAAACAGCTTGTTTCAGACACAGTGAGAACTGATGCACCAAGGGCAAACATTAAGATAAATAAGCATTATTCTGACCCTCGAATCATGCAAAGCTTCTCTGCAGTGCTCTTTAACCTTACAAAGGGAGAGGAGGAGAAATGCAGAGTTCTCACACATGGTGGCTGACTAAAGTCGTGATCATGTATGTCAGTGGGGGAAACTTACAGAGAAATGAAACTATAAGAAAATTTATTTAGTTATTATTTGATGTAATTCTGTGGTTTCTTGGTAAAGTGTGAGCACCGCTGGAGATAGAAGTTTCAGCTCACAGTAACAACCAGACGCTCATATGAAAACGCGCCTGTGAACGAGGGGTGTGAAGAAACCTAAATATTTCTTTTTGTTTGTCGTGTTTGTGTTAATGATCCCCTGTGAACACAGTCAGTCACAAAGTAAGACAAAAATTGTAATGGTGACATGTGCAGAACACAGCAAAAGGTGCTAAAAAAAAGATCGACATGCAGTGTAGCTATCCCACGGTTCAAAGAAGTTACAGTTTAATGCTGCTGAGAGCCTTAAAATTGTCGTCCTGATGTGGAGATATGAAATTCAGTGGTCTTCTAGCGCTGCCTGGTTTTTCCTCAGGAAGTCATTTATAAACTCTCTGAAGTTTACAGAGTCTGTGCGAGAGTCATTGAAGGATTTTGTCCTCTGTGGTGACGTCCAAGAGAGAACAGGAAAGAGGAGGAAACAGGCTGAGAGCGAGAGACGAGAGTGAAGAACAGACTGGAAAAAAAACACCACAGAGAACAAAAGTCTTTTATCGGCTCTGATTAGGTGTGAGACAGCGCGAGACCTCAGGCGATCTCCTGCCTGTTCCGTCTGGAAATCCCCCTTTTTCCTCCAAACACACTCCCGCTTGTCTGGCTTAGAGAGTCTGTGTGTCTTTGTGTGTGTGTGTCTAACACAGTGACTCAGCCCGTAATGACAGACTGAGCCACCTGTTTGTTACTTACACACACACAAACACACGCTAACACCTGGCTGCCACATCTAACCTTTCTCAGACCATCTCACCTGAATTATTTTGGCTACGCTTCCACAGAGGAGCACCGTGGTGCATGCATACGCACGCCACCTTACCTCACTTCTCTTTTTGTCTGTCAGCTGATCACAGGTTCGGGGGTTACCTCACCAGTGATGTCAGTGTTTGGCGCACCTTTCTTCCTCTTTGCGCGTTGCTTAAAGGGGAAATAAAGGGACCTGAGCTATTTCTTTGGTTTTAGTGCTTGGTCTCTGGAGGCTTTTTTGGCCTTTGACCCTTCAGCTTTACACGTGTCTATTAAGCCTACATTGCAGACACGGACAGCTGGCACGCCCCAGGAGTCAATCCTGTTATTCTAGGTGTTTGTGTAGTTGGTAAATGTTAAAGCAAATTCTTCCCAACAAGTCTGCGCAGTCACAAAAAGCAGGAACACACATTGATGTATACTAGAATCCTCCCACTAACCGCCTGATAACGTTTACCTAAGCAGTCCCAAGTGGACTTGCACAGCAAAAGTTGAACCCATGCTTAAGTAATTTAATCACAAAGTGCAACTTGCTATGTACAGATGTTTGCTTTCCCCTTGAGTTTTATCATTGAAGTTGACACGAGGAGGATAGCAGTGTGCCAGAATCTGTCGTTTTTCTAAAGAATACGTTTTGGCAAAATCCATTTCCTTTCTAATATCTCGACAGCTAAAGTTACCCGCATCAGTCTGGTGGAGGATTTCGTGACACTAGCACTGTAACGGAAGTATCAGATTGCAAACTTTTCTCAAGTTGACTCCTATAATCTTGGTCACCTGTGCTCGGTTTGTGTCAGACACAAACATGATTCATGCTTTGGACTGTCAACATGGGATCCTCACCTCAGTTCAATCATCAGTCCAGTCATTCCAATATTTAAAATCACAGCTGATGGAGGAAAATAACACCAGCCTCGACGAGGGGGGGAAAATGCATTGATTTTCATGCTGTGGCTGCTTTTGGAGTTTCTGTTTTCTGTGTGAAAAAGCGTTAGGGATGGGGTTACCTGCCACCCAGGTAAGGTTGTAGCATGTTTAATAGAGTATAAAATCCCAGCCTTCAACGTGTGCTAGTATGTGGGGGTCCATTTGGGTCGGGCTGACATAAATTTGAAAGTGAGGCTTCATGCGAACTTCCCCGTATTGGTCCGGTTTGAGACTACGCTACAAGGGCAGCAACTGTGCATGCATTCTCCAAGCACACACCAGCGAATACAACTCTAAGTCCTCTGTGTGTCTACAGGGCTGCATATAGCTCCTCTGTAACAAAGCCTTGCATTACATGGAAATCTTTATTGATAAATCAGAGGTCAAACACATTAGTCCACTCAATAGCCTGAAATCAGCTGAGAAACTGGCGAAAAAGTGTCCTGCGGCGAGGCTGCATGTTGTCTTTGTGTTTACCCATGTATTTCTGGAGAGTTTATGTAAAAACACACTTGTGCCTGACTGCTTATCCCCTGTGAAATTGTTTTATTGGCATCACAGAACGTGCAGGCCCACAGCAAAACCTCAGTAATATAAAACTGGTAGCCGATAAGATAAGACGTATATTATCTATCCTGAAGGCTGGAAAGCTTCTGTGCTACAGCAGCCAAACCACTGAAATAGCTTAAATAAAAATGACACAGCTCAGTAAATAATATACAATAAGACATTAAGATGAAAATTACACAAAAGAGAGAGAAGCTCAGTTAAACAACGAGGTCATTTATACAAAACTCTGTTTATGTTTTTTTTATTTTGCTTTTAGTTGAACAATTAACAAATTATGGTTACAAATTTCCTCTGGATTTCTTGACCTTAAGATGACTTTGCTTGCTCTCCAGGCTTCTGATTGTTATTGCGTCATCTGCATCACTTCGAGTAAAAGGTCAGGAAGGAAAGAGCTGTGATTACAGTTTTTTTAAATGTATTTAATCAATCACCTACTTTGAATCTTTCTTGTGGCCTTGGGCCTTTCTTCAGAAGCACCGCACCATCGACGTGTGAAAGTTCATCTTTCCTGTTGTTGTTCTGCTCTTTGTGACATCATTAGAGGCAATAAGAAATTCCCGTGAGTGGACGTCAATGTTAACGACAAACATCACAATACTTGTGGGTTTATTTCTGTTTTGTTTTTATTTTTTTGAAACAGTTAAAGATATAAATGTTCTTTTTTTAATATCCTTTATTGTACACAGAGCCTACATCTGTCATTTATTCTCACCACACAGTTTACTTCCTCTGTTATTTCCATCACCACCCACTGTCTGTTTTCACTGCTGCCTAAATACGGAGTTGCCTTACCTTTAGCTATATTTCAACTTTACAACCCCCTTAATTTTCCCGTTAATTTCCCCTAAAGTAATGCACATGTTGCATCATCTTTCTCATAGCATGTTTCACTTCTTTTATTCAGTGTATTAAAATTGGCCGTTAAAGTTGTCAGCAGAAAACTTAGCGCGGGGGAAATACTTACTTGATCCCCTGCTGAATTTCTAAGTTTGCTCACTCACAAAGAAATGATCGATGTCTAATTTATTTTATGGTAATTCCATTTTGATGAAGAGAGACAGAATATCAATCAAAAAGAAATTTAAAAAACATAAAAGTTATAAATTGATTTGTATGTCAGTGACTGAAATATGTATTTAAGCCCCAACCACCCAGACACAATTCTGGCTTCTACTGACTGCCTGCGTGGCCCAGTGGAAAACATATTACAATCATTTGATCAGTCATCAATTACAGAAAGCATAAAGCGCTTTTTTAAAATACAGAATCAATTTCTCCCATTCTAATCTCTCCACCATCATGTCCAAGAC